AATAACGAAAAAATAGACCACGTGAAAGGTGTCACTGCAACCGTATCGGAACTAATCAATTGTACAAAAGTCTTTAAAAGGAAGAAACTTCCTCAAGGACTCAATTCATATATATTTCGGGGCTATCTGGACATTTTGGAAGCACCTTTAAGCATCCCATTGCTATCACCAGTTCAGCCAGTTTTAGCTGGTGACAGGTTTCCTTTAAGTCCAGGAGAGGCCGAGCTGAGACCCCTGGAAGGAATTGCGCAATCAAGATTTTGACACGGTTGGTTTATTTTGAACAGAAAGCCACCGTGTCACTCGGTGAAAGGTCTGCTAATAATTATTTTTCTACTTCAAAGCTCCTGTAGTAGTTTCATGTGCCTCCGTATTGCAGATCTGCTTTTATTTAACATACTGTTCTCTCCACGAGCATATGCTTGTCATATTAGCTCACGTTGACGAGGAACTCCGGCAACCAAATTTAATAAAGATGAGCAGTTCCAAATCCATTCAAATATAAGCAGTTATAAATGTGTTTGCAGTCATGCAGTCCGGAATCTGACACCTTGATGACTTTGTGTTTAAGAGTATCTTCACCAAACGTGTTTCGCAAACATTTTAGATGGAGTGAGGAAGTGTTAGAACCTCAGGGAAATTCACCCTCTCAATGTGTCCTGATGACCATTGCTACCAGGACTGAAAGTGACGGCAACCCCGAAATTTTGCAGTTGTCAGCAAAACAGAAAGTCATAACTCCCAACTGTCCTTCATTTGGAACCGAATTCCTCTTGTCCCTGTTTGCTCCTCAGTTGTCCATCTTTTTGGTCTAATGCAAAGATATCCTATAAAAAGGTTCCATTTAACTACCAAAAGTATAATTATGCACTAAAACCTTCATCCTACCTCTTAATTATCTTGTTTGCTATTTCAAAAAGCCAGTAAAAAAGAAAAGTAATGGTAAAAAAACTTGGGTTTAACCATTTTTGGCATATACACCCTTAATGGTCCGCATAACTGGGAGTGTGGCACGGATGTGTCCATTGACAATATATAACTGGGGGGTGTCCATTGACTATATATAACTGTGGGTGTGTGCATTGACTATATATAACTGTGGGTGTGTCCATTGACTATATATAACTGGGGGGGTGTCATTGACTGTATATAACTGGGGGATGTCCATTGACTATATATAACTGGGGGGGTGTCCATTGACTATATATAACTG